ACTGCAAGACAACCCCTGTGGGAACACTGGAAAGCTGGTATCCCACTCAGGGAAGACGCTCAGGGAAGAGAGAATTCACACCCACAACAGAAATAGTTCATCTAGCAAGAAGGCATGAACCCATGCTCCGGTAAAGACACACTTTTCAAACTATTACAGGGTTGATTTCCATTTATCAGAGTAAAACCTAACTTTAGTCTAAGGATAAACAAAGAGCAGAACAATGAGCATGCTTTCACAGCAGTATTAAAATTGTTAAAATAAAAGGAAAATATTTCCGGATCAACCTTTCCAAGATTTCTAAATGCCTCAGGACACTATTTAATGTTTATAGTATTTAAAAAAACATTCTCTTACAAAAAACTGATGTGTGATGGAGGTGTATTTGTTTCCTTTTCTGAGATTAATAAACCTGAATGATGTACAAAGGTATTGCCCAGCAAAATATTCATCCCTAACATACAGACTCTGTACTGAAGTTTTTCAACAGATCTAGAAAATCAAACTCCAGAAGTTAGAAAGCTCCCCTAAAATGCATCAAAATATATGGTCAGATTTTTTGGATTTCTTACTTCAGCAGATATTGATATTTCTTAAGAGACATATCAGGAAGAACCGCAATTAAACTAGAAGGGGCCAAATACCTTTTCAGAGGTGTCAAAACAGAGACAGAACACCTTAAAAAGCCCAGATCCAACTTCAGAATTACAGCTGAAATTTTGTTCACATATTCTTCACATAAACAGATTTTTGAGTATTTTCATGTGTAAGAGAGAATTAGGCCATATTGCAATACTCTAAATTTTGTTGCAGGTTAAGGGTACGAGCAGTGCTGTCACGACTATGACTGCATGAAGTAACAAGCTGAAAAACTGTTTTCCAAGTGTTAAAACTTGCTCCTGCTTCTTTGGGAATAACATGAACTCTGCAAACTAATGGCAGCTGAACCAAAATCCAATACAATGGCTGCACAAGTGTTATTTTTAGTGGCAAAGCTGCCTTAAAAATAGACCTCACTGCAGTTCCTGTGAGCAACACCAATGTGCTCCCAACAGCCCTCGGTGTTCAGCTGCCTGTAAAGGTAGACAAAGAACCACAGCTCATGATACACTGAAGACTGGCACATACTCTGAGCTTTCCTGTGCCACAGATTATGGAAAAGGGGGACTCTGTCCTGAGGACAACTCTTGCTCAGTACTGCAGGTTACAGTAATTTGTTCATTCCCCGAGTGCCATCTATTCAAGCTATGTCCTTACTAAATGTAAAGCTTCCAATGAGATTCTGATTATTGAAATAGTGCTCTTTCTCCTAAACCTAATGAGATTAATGTTAAGCAAACAAAATGGTAAGGCTGAAACTACATGTGAACTGTATTTAAACAATCTGAATAAAAAAAATACAATTATATGTCCTATCTGGATATATGATCCTGAAGCAGTACAAAATATCCTGGTGAAACAATGAGGGTCTCTGCCTGAACAGCACAAAAGCCAACCTTTCCTGCAGCCAATCAGAAGTACCAGTCTGACCACAGACAATGCTTTGAACAGTTAGGAGTGGCATCTATTTGTATTACGTTCCATATAAAAGAAAAAAACTGCAACATTTTAGAAGGAAGGAAATTACCTTCGATTTAAAAGAGAGAATGCATGTGAAAGAGAACACATTGTAATTTCCAAGCCTGCAAAAATTGTATCTGCCTAAGTATTGTACACAAAGCTAAAAATATGTATTTGAGTACTTTAGTTTACTTCCTGTATTTTGAGCTTTTAAGACTCATGCAGATTACATGATCTGACAAGGATACTGTCAGAATCTCTTAATGAAGTTAAAATCAAATAATTCCATAACTCCAAGAACTAAGATCTGACTAACAGTAGAGTCTTTAATTCAATACAAACCCCTACTCTTACTGTTTCAAGTGGTTCATACCAGTCTTTTCTATAAACTTGTACAACTAACAGAAAGGAAAATGAGGTCTGTTGCACAGAGGAAAACAGTCATGCAACTACCTACATACCAGATCTGGCTGGAAAACAATTCTAGGGCATTATTTTCTTCTTTTAGGGGAGACTGAGCTGGGTGCAATTTATTTGATAGGAACAAGTTGCAAGACATCTCTAAATACTTACATTTGGAGAGTAAAGTGACAGCTCTCAGTTACTCAGCTAAAACAGTAAGTCTGTACTACCTGACCTGGAGCAAAAGTTTGAACCAGGCTTTTACACAATCACAAAATCATTTAGGTTGGAAAATCTCTCTGAGATCCTAATGTCCAGCCTTTGACATTAAAGACATTTCTTTGACTAAACCAGAAGCACTGTGTGCCACATTGTCATTTATTGAACAACTCCAGGGACAGTGACTCCACCGCCTCCCTGGGCAGCACATTTCAATGCTTAATAAATCTTCCAGTGAAGAAATTATTCAGAATGTCCAACCTGAACCTGCCAGAGTGCAACTTGAGGGTATGTCCTCTCCTACTGCTGGTTGCAGAGAGCAGTAGGACTCCCCTTGACCTTCCTCTTTCTCCAGGCTAAATAACCCCACCTCCCGCAGCCACTCCTCACAGCGGTCCAGTCCCTTCCTCAGCTCCACTGCTCTCCTCTGGACATACTCCAGCACCTCAGTGTGTTTCTTGTGGTGAGGGGTCCAGAACTGGACATATGACTTGGGGTGTGGCCTCACCAGTGCCCAGGACAGGATAAGAAGCACTTCTCTTGACCTACATGCCACACTATTTCTGATACAGGCCAGGACACCACTGGTCTTCTTGGCACCCTGCGCACTGCTGGCTCATGCTCAGCCACTGGCAACCAGCACCCTCAGGTCCTCCTCCACTGGGCCACTTTCCAGCCCCTCTTCCCCCAGACTGGAGAGATGCATGGGGGGGTTGCTGTGGCCAAACTGCAGGACCCCACAATTCGTCTTACTGAACTCTCCTGTTGCTGGGCTTGGCCCATGGATCCAGGTTTACCCCATCCCAGACAACTGCCCTACTCAGGAGCCACTGTCTACTCCAGTATCTCCCCCCTACTATGCTGAACCTCAGCAGAGATTGCCAGCCCCGTCCAGAGCCATCTGCAAACTCATTACGTGAGTGGCTACCCTCAGAGCTGACTTGGACATCTCTAACAGTGACCGCCCACCAACTGCACTGTGGCCATGTGTGCTTCCTCATGCACATTCTCTTCTTCATAAACTGGCTGACATAAAGGCTGAAAAAAGGTTGTAGGAGCCATTTTCTTTTTTTAAGGATGTTTTCTTTGAGTCATGAGTTTTTATCACCAGACAGGGACAGCACATTTCAAACATGCAACAAGGAAGCAATTAGCCATTACAGAATAGGTGTTTTCACTTCTTTTGCTACATAATCACTCTACAATTCAGTTTTTTCACTCTCACACTATGTCCACGTCTGCAAACACTACCCTGTGCTACACACTGATGTCATGCAGCTCAGGACAAATCTGTAGCACTGAGTGAGTTACAGTGTTCTGCAAATCTACTCCAGTTTATTGGGACTGCATTTCTTGCTTTGTTTGTTGGGGTTTTTATAAGATCTGGGATATCAAATTCCACCCACACCAGCAGCTGTTTTACTGACTCTCTTTCTTAAAGACCCCACAAAGCCAATTATCTACAGAAAAGTTCAGAAAATATACAAAGTCCAATAACAAGGAAAAATATTGTGAGTACAAAGAGGCGGCTTTGCACTCCTTAATATTATGAATACTTTTCATCTATGCAATTATTTTTCCTCTTATTTCTATGCAATGAAGCACAATGTGATCCCTGTGCAGGACATTACATTAGGTTAATGCAAAGCACTATTTTGGCATTTCTTACAAAAAATTACTGTGTGCACACATGACTCTGCTGATTTACCATTAAGTTCAATAACAGAGTTGAAATATATTTTTTTAAGAAAGCACTTCAACTATACTGAAACTGTACAAACAGCTATGAATGGATATATAGCTATGGGTCAGACTGATGGATCTCTGCACATACCCGGAAAAATCACTAAGGAGCACCTTGAAGCTCACCTCTGTCTATTAACATGGAGACTTGTTAAAAATGTGACTTCTAAAGTAATAAATGTAAAATGGACCCACACAAATAAAAACACTGCGCTTCAACATCAATTTTAAGGAAAAATGTGTATTTTCTAAACTGCCCCTCCAACTTGAAGGACCCCAAGTTCAAACTGTGCCCACCAGACATTCCGCCACTTCTTTGTTTTTAAACAGCACATTTACTTTGGACAGAAAAGGGAGAAAACAGCCATAAAGTTCCCACTGTTATGAAAAACAGAAACAATTGCTAGAGTTACAAGCTCCTCACAGACTGAGCCAGATGATGAACAGCTCTGGGTCTCTACTTTCTTGTATGCAGTTAACTCAAATTTAAAAAATGCAACAGTAACACTGCCGTGGCCACAAAACCTGATGCTTACAGAAACTGTTATTTGCCAAAAGGAACCTTTGCTGTGGCAGCTGTCACACCACCAGCGTTCAAAACCCCTTTACCTTCAGCTTATTTTGCTCACAACTGCCTGGGTTACGTGCCCTTCATACACAGAGCATATGAAAACTATAAACATGTCACCACAGACTGCACAGCAAACCACCTGAATAAGCCACTCAAATACAAATCAGCCTAATTATACAGTTTGGTTTCCAAACGTTAATATCACTTCTCATTCCACAGTTCCATTACTCTCAGTCTTTAATGAAAACAGGCACGGTCATAAAACTGGTCTGAAAACAAATAGTATTTGAGGGCTCTCCGTTTGCTGATGAATTCCCAGAGCCTGGTGGGTGCTTGGTAGTGCCAGCTTTTTTCCCCACTGAATCAAAGATGTTCAATTCTCTTCAAGCCCACCTAAAGCCCAAAAACAGTAAACCTGATGTCACCATGTACACCACATTCAGACAATGTTCTCCATCACACTTACCTCTATCCTATGACATACAAGATTATTCGGTTTCCTTACCCATTAACTGAGCTCTCTTTTGTCTTCAGTGTTCTTTAGTATTTGATCAAACCAGGCTTGAATGAAGGATGCAGATCCAGACATGCTGTATCATGAAATAAATTAAGAATAACGCTGTTGACCTGCCGCTGTGTAATAAGCAGCTGAGAGTGAGCCCAGCTGGAGCAGCTGCGACTCCCAGGACACCTTTTGCTGCCAGATGTCATGAATCTTAAAGAGGAAGAATTATCTTTTCCCTTCTCTGCTTTGAAGCAAGCTGAGAGTCTGGCTCAAGGAAAAACTCAGTCACACAGACAAGTTGTAACTGGGTTCCCTGCTCCTTACTCCAGAAATGTACTGAGATAGTGCAAGGAGCTGTGAGGAAAGGCCAGATCTCCCAAAAATCCTTCAACCTGGGGATGTGCAAGCTCAGAACCAACTGCAAGTGCCCCAGCTCTCTCTCTATCAGGAGCAGCAGAGTACTGCACACAGCTGCCAGGCACCTTAGAACACAGCATGGAGCTCTCAGCAGCTTCTGCCTGACCTTTTCGTACAGAGCTTTGTAAAACACCTTTGAAAACTTACTCAGGCAGGACAGCTATATTTGTAACATAATTTTGACAACAACAACAACACAGAGACTGAGCATTTTACTCAGTCTGCTAGGAGAGAAAAATCCTTGATAAAGGCGCTGCTTCATAAATAATGTCTGTCACGTCCACAGTCCCCATACAGAATGCTGTCATCTATAGTGCGTGGGCAGAGAGCGTAGGAAATTTGTGAGAAACAAACAGTGAATCACCAATTATTCTGATGGCAGCTCTGCCCTGTGTGGCTTTTCACCAAGTCATTCTTCAGAGTGACAAGTTTGTTTGTCGGCTGGCACGGCCTAGCGCTTCATCAGATTGCACACAGAGCCACAGGCTAGAGTTCACGGCAGAGGCAAGAGAGATTATGTAGCGTAACTTTTTGCATTTTTTTTTCCTCCAAATATTTGCCCAGATGTTTTGTCCACCTCTAAATCAGCAGGCTGAAGAGCTGCCCACCAGCCAGGTTATGAAAGCCCCAGCTCAGAAACTCAGTCACTCCTGGGTTGACATCCTGGCCATTAGCCTGGTTCCTGATAGCACCGAACTTGGACATCAGCTGTCCCTAATTCTGGAGTCTCATGGAAACCCAGGGAAATCAATGCAGGGGCCTCAGCATTTCAGTGTCTCTTAGATCTTATGTCAAATCCTCAAATTATGCAGCTCCTCACCTCCATTTCCAGCCTTTTTCCACACTGCTGCCCAGGGCTGAGAGGTGCCAAGACCAGCTGGTGTGCTGCACATTAGGCATCAAACCACACAAGATTTCCAAGGCAAAAAAGGTGTCTTATCTGCAGAGAGAGCTGAATAACCTCAGCAAAGTACTGTCACTGACCGTCGAGATGCTGCAGCCAAAGAGCAGTGTCCTGCTAGACCTCTCATAAATATGCTATAAATTTGTAGTCCTTGCAATCTTTCCTCAAAAATAAGTTTCTTTAGCCCACATATCCCTTGCGCCAATATTCTTTGAGTTTCCTTAACGAGCAAAACTCTGCTATTTATGTAACTGGAAATGGGGTTTTGCTCCTTCTTGAGCCTGGCCCACTCAAACTATGAGATGAAGGAATTCCCATTTCCAGCTCTGCACAGCAGCTGCCCTGCAAACAAAGTATCTAAAATTCACCAACCTTTCTTGGTGGCCTGCATAAAGATAAAACTTAATGTCTGTGAAGTACTGAGATAGCCTGTCCCTCTTTTACTTCTGAGCTCCAGAGATGGTTTTTTTTCCCTTTATCTTAGATTTTAAAAAAGTGAAACAATATTGGAACCATAGGTACAAATTCATATTTATTGAAAATAGAGGTTGACAGAGTTTACTTCTTCGAAATTGAATTCTGCTTTGAACCTGGATTCTTCAGGTTATTCACTATACACTAGAAGTTCTTTGCAGAAAAATCCATGGTGTTTTGGGGCACACTGTCTACACTGTCTAGTTGAACTTATTTGTATATAATTTCTATTAGCTACCAGCACATCTAGGGAGTTATTTTTCCCTTTCAAACTACTTTTTTTCAGTAATGCACAGCTTTATATTTAAAAACAGGCTATCAGAATTAAATTTTTTTCCCAGAGCACTCAAAAATATTAATCTTAAAATTTTGCATTGAGCTTGGCATAAACTCTCATGGAAAAATTACATGCTTCTGAGATTGTAACTTTGTCATTCACAGAAAAGGAGTATGGGACTTTTAGTCTGTTTCTTAACTGTGCAAAATTTCAAGGACTCACACTCTGGAGAGGTGCAGGATTAGGAGAACCAAATTAGGAGGCATTGGGAATTCCTCTGGCTGACCTCTTGTTACACCAATGACCAACTGGTCACTGCAGAATAGCTTCCAGGAGACACAGCAGAGCTATTGTGAATAAAATCATACTGGATCTTTGCATTTCCATGAAAAGTAACTGAAAAGTAACTGACTAGTTTAGGCTTTCCTGTATTCATTTTGAACTCTACCATGGAGCCTGAGACATAGACTGAGCATCCACAGTAAAACAATGTTATATGCACTAGGTTCAGATGAAACAGCTCACTCAAAAATAGAAATAAATAAGAGAAGTACAACAACCTCTATTAAATTTACACTTCATATGATCCTAAGACCTGTGAAAATAGAGAAGTGGTTGCAAGTTGCATATGCAAAAAAGGCACTTTAATTATATCTCTGCTGTCTGGTCCAGTAGCCACAACACACCCATCTGCTCCAGACACTCTCTGCCTGTGCCTCACAATCTCTAAAAAGCAGAAAGCAAATAAAAACCAATTAAATATATTTAACTTGGGCTTTTTTATCTCTTGCTTCTAAGTGTTATCCATCACCCAGAAACTGATGACTCCAAAAGAGATGATGTAAGTACTCTGACAAGTTATATTAGACTCTAATAAAAGCACATACATTGAGACAGATGAAGAGAGAACATGCAGCATCATTCCTCTTTCCAGAAAAGGAAAACATCATAAGGAGCTGCAGAGACTGAATGACTGATGGAGAATAGAAAGGCCATCCTGGAGGAACCAAAGCTGGGTTTGCACTGACATGCTGCTGCTATTGCTGTAATTTCCAAGAAGAGTATGCTCTATATTTTCTCAAAGACTTTTAAAAGCAGTCAGACATATTCTGAGTCATTGCAATATCCTGAAAATGCCACTTTACAGCTTTGTTTTTATAAAACCACAGTGCAGATTTTATTTTTAGCACAGCTCCATATCCAGGTATGACAAACAGCATTAGGTACAGCACATACCACACTGGTCCTTGAAGCACAAGGACAAACTCCCACCTTTGGAGGTGTTCTGACCTGCAGAAACAAGAGCACAGAGAGAACTATGGACTTCACTGATATTTTGGAAAATGCTGCACTTGACTTTAAAAAAGAGGGTGCAGGAAGAGTCTTGTCCAGACTTCAGAGGGAGCTGCATGGCCAGGGAGAAGCTCACAGCAGCTCCCCAAATGTGCAACCACAGCTCCAAGTCCTGTTTCAGAAACCAAGCTCAAAGAGACAGGCCTTACTCCCAAAGCATTTGAAAAGACACGTCTCCATCCACAGTCTCCAAAGGAAAGACTAATATAAACAAACCCAAAGGCCAACTGAAAACCTATTTTTAGATAAATTAAGAGCACAAAAGCTTTCCAATGTCCTCTCCTTAACCCTTCTTCTATTTCTTGTCCTCCCCTCCCCTCATTCCCTGTATGGCCAAGGGGCTGTCTTGTTGACTGTCAATGCTCTCTGCTCCTATTTAAAATTTTTAATGGCAATCTAGCAAGCATCCCCAATCCAATTATTTTAATATGTCTGTGTTAAGTAGTCACAACAGCTTCTCTTACCAACATTATTATTACTGCAATTAAAATATACAATAGTCAACTCAAAGATCCACATAAGCCTCTTTGAATTTTACCTTTTGTTACTGATTGAGCAAAGTGTTTAGTGAAAAGAGGAGGAGCCAAGAGTGTGGACTTTAAGAGCCAGCATGAAGCTCTTGCAGAAAGAAGGCACGCAGACACAGGAAGTCAAAGAGCTTTCACTGCAGTATCCTTGTAAAACCAACAACTGCCTGCCAGGTTGAGCTTCCTGCTGGATCCCACACGGTTTCTGTACAAAGAACTCCCCATCCCACAGACAAGTAACAGCACTGCATATTGCTTTTAAACTTTTATCAAACTCTGCTCACATCAAAATATCACAGCACTTCAGCTTACTATCAAAGAATTCCAGTAACATATGGGAGAGCAGATTAATTTTGAGGTGCACAGAGTCTAAAGAGTTCTTCTCTGTATTATGCCCTTTAATGAACTAAATAAGATTATTTGATACAGCTCATTAATAATCACAAAGAATACTCAAGGGAAACTCCATCCAAAAGCCCGCATTTTGAAATAAGAGGGATTATATACTTAAGTATCATTGCAAAACGCTTCTAATGGGCTGTGGATGAGTTTTAGTTGATCACCTTAGACACACTCTTTGTTCTCAAGATCCCCAGGGATCTCCTACAGGAACTACTGCACTGGGGGGTGGAATCTGCCTCATACCAACCTCCTTCAGAAGTTACACTCACTTTAATATAAATACACATAGGTACTCACGTAAGTGTCCAGCTCTTCAGAGAAGTCACCCTGCCTCAGCTGTAGTATGACAGTTTTCAATAGCTGAAGTTGTTGCTGTTTGTTCAGAAACAGAGGACGACAGAAAAAAACGGATATAAATAAAACTCTTTAAGAGCCTTTACTCAGGTCTGAAGAATTCAACAGCTGCATCCCATTCAAAAAACGGAACAGAATAAATATCCTCAGCTACAAGAATGACTTTCCAGGGGCCAAGCTGAAAATCAGTACATTTCTAGAAGAAGACATTGATTTTAAAGGCATTTGCAACACTTGCACATTTTGTGGCATTTTTACAAGTTAAAATATATTTGTGGTATCTGGTATTGGCTTTAAAGCTTTATCTCCAGGCGGTATGTGAAAGTCTACGCACATCTCATTGTATGTATTTACATAAGGAATACATAAAACTCCAGCTGTTGCAAAGAGAAGCCTGCAGGTGTACTCTCTGTGCTTTTGGAAAGTGA